TGATGGTCCTGAATTTACAATTTATAACCATGTCAAGGCTTGGTATTCAAGTAGTCATTTTTCTTGATCCTTCATAGAAATGGCACCACAGGGATCAGGAGATGAGAGAGGTGATGACCTGGACACAACAATGAGCCTTGCTGATCCTACAAGGGTCACCATCATTGCCAAGGGAGACAGAATGAGAATACCATGTGTGCTCAGCAGTGTGTGCATCCTTCCACAATCATCCTCAAGTTTAGAAGGGAGTGGCATCAACTTAGCACCAACAGCTCTGTACTCACAAAGAGTGAGACAGGGTGGTGGAGTGAGTCAACATCTGACCTTACCCACAGCCTTCTCATGACACAGTGGCTCAGGTCACTGCACAAGACTATGGGTTCCTCACACACAGCTTTAAATATTGCTACATTGAAGGTATCCATGTGCACGTCCACAAAGCCATAGACTTCTTTTTTTTTCTTAAGAATTTTTTTATTCATTTTACATACCAACCACAGATTCCCCTCTCTTCCCTCGTACTGAGTGACCCCAAACACATTGAACTACACTAAAGCAGAAGACTGGAGTTATCAATTTTTTGAACTCTTATTTAATTAGTTCTTTGAGAATTCTGTACAATGAGTTTGATCATATTCACCCTTATTTTTGATTCAAGAAGGCCATATCAATTAACTTTATTTTAAAAATTATTAATATGTCCACCAGCAAGGACAAGCTTTCTCAAGTATCCTACTGAAAAGAGTTAGAAAACTGGTCACTTGAAGAAAGAAAATAAGAAAGAAACAAGGCTGGAGATGGCTCAGTGGTTGTGTGAACACTTGATGTTCTTCCAGAAGACATCCGTTTCGATCCAAGCACCCTCATTGGCTCACAATCTCTTGTAACTCCAGCTCCAAGGGATCCAACAACTTCTCTGGCTTCCCTGGGCACCCCCACACAAATGCTCATACAGATTCCCAAGCACATGCACATAAATCAAAATTATATATATATATATATTAAACCACTCTGGGGATTCTCTTCTGTGTGCTGTAAGAAATCCTAGAAACCTTGAACTCTTTGTCTTTGCAATGGAAGAGAAAATTCAATTAACAAATGAGTTTCTATCAATGCTCATATGTAAAGCTCTGACCATGCAAGCATCAGCACCAAGTTCAACGCCCTCTCTCCAGAACTCATGTAGAAACAGAATAGACTAGTATGAGTGTCTGTGATCACAGTGTATCTACAGCAAGACATGGGAGATAAAGACAGAATACCCAGAACCTCACAGCCAGCTAGCCTTGAGTACACAGCCACAAACAACAAGAGAGACCCTGCCTTAAACAAGACGGAAAGAAAGGAAGGCCTAACCACAAAGACTGTCTGCTAACTTCCCCATGTACACCATAACCTGGATGTAACAACACTCACACATTTTCACATGTACATGCACACACACACACACACACACATACACTAAAGTCTAAAAAATGTGAGTTCTGAAAATAATATTTCAAATGTATCCACATAGGAGCTACAAGCATCAATCAATCCAAGTAAGCAACATATGCCCAATTTGATCCTACCTGCCATAACATCCACATTGTATCCTATGGAGACATTTTCTTATACCTTCCAAAAACCTATTTCTTATGACATACGCTTGTATTTCACATCAGATTTACATATCAAAGATTTAATATCTTCAGTTAGCATTTGAAGCTTTTATTAAACTCTATTTGACTTCCAAAACTATGCATAAATAAAGGCAAACAAGAACTCCTGGTGATCAGCATGGCATACTTAATTCTACTCTACTGAGAGAAGGCCTCAGAAGCATAAAGCTCCACCTCTAAGTATTTTGTAACTGAGCAAGCTCTTGGTTTCCTTGTTCCCATGAGATAGCAAGGGGCTGAAAAACTCAAAGCAAATCCCTGTTATGCACTGTGCTTCCACTGGGTGTAGCTATGATGTTCTGTGTACACATGAAGGATGTTGGGACATTCAGGGATCTGTAAGGACTTTAGCATTAAACTGTTTTAATCACCCATAAGTTTGGGAAAAACCAAACAAAATGTTTCCAAACAGGTCAGGTCAAGCTGGGTTTCAGTCTTTTTTCCCCTACAAAGGAAGCAACCTATAAAGTTAAAAATCTGTGCTCAAAATTTAATTAATGATTATTTCCATATAGTTGGATTTTTGTTTAACTCTTTAATGTAATCATATGATTCACACCTAGTTCAATGCCTTCTGTGTATAGAGACATCTGTTGGGTAAACTGGGATTAAGATGAGGAAAATGCAGGGTCTAGAAAGATGGCTCATTCAGTAAAGAGCTTGCCACTCACGCATGAGGACCTGAGTTCAGACCCCAGCACCCACATAAAAGCTAGGCATGGTGTTGTGTGCCTGTAATCCTAGATTGGGAAAGAGCAGGACTGTGGTGGTATTGTATTCCCCAAAATATTGTGTACCCTAATAAATTTATCTGGGGTCAGAGAACAGACAGTCACTAGACACAGAGGCTAGAAAATGGTGGCACTCACACCTTTAATCCTAGCATTCCAGAGGCAGAAATCCATCTGGGATCTCTGTGAGTTCAAGGCCACATTGGAAAGAGCCAGGCATGGTGACACACGCCTTTAATCCCAGGGAGTGATGGTAGAAGGCAGAAAGATATATAAGGCATGAGGAACAGGAACTAGAAGCATTTTGGCATGGTTAAGCATTTGACTGGTTAAGCTTTCAGGCTTCTAAGCAGCACAGTTCAGCTGAGAGCCATTGGGATGAGGACACAGAAGCATCCAGTCTGAGGAAACAAGACCAGCTGAGGAATTGGCAAGGTGAGATAGCTGTGGCTTGTTCTGTCTCTCTGATCTACCAGCATTCACCCCAATACCTGGCTCCAGGTTTGATTTTATTAATAAGACTCTTTAAGATTCCTGCTACACAGGACAGGCAAATGCCTGGAGACATTAGCCAGCCATTCTCACCAAACTGCTGAATTTTTGGTTCAGTAGGAGACTGTCTCAAAAAATAACACACACACACACACACCTCCTCAATTCAATGCCAGTTCTGGGCAGAATGTCTTGAGATGTCTATTTATACTAACAGGAAAGAAAGCCCACAGTGTTTCTCCTAAAATGCAAAGACAGCTTCCATGCTGAGAAGAAAACTGTTACAGCCTTTCTTAACAACACCATATGTCTCCAAGCCGATCATGACGAAGTTAGTTCCCAGGGGGACGTTCTCTGTGGAAGCTAACCAAATCTAAAAGCAGGCTTGGCTCCATGTACATTCACTGACTAACCAATGATCTGCCTTTGCATCTTCTCTATCATCCAAATATCCTAAGAAAGGGTCTTCCTGCTTTCCCAACATCCTCCCCAAGCAATCAAGTCAGGACAAAAGCTCTGACTATGCCACCAAAATAAATAAATAAATAAATAAATAAATAAATAAATAAATAAACAATCTCTCTTTTTCTTCCCATTTTCTCCTCTATATGACTTCAATCATTTTTAAGGAAAAGAAAAGCCAAATTTCCAAACCCTCTGATGGATTTCAATGATAGTTTTGCTATAGCAGTAATTGTTGAAACCCAGAATATAATTTAATATACACACATACACTTACACACACATACATACACACATATGTATGTGCATATTTCCACTGAGACAGGTCATCATCAAAAGAGCCATAAATTAACAATCACTAAAAAATTCTTTACACACTATACTTTTTCCCAGTCCAGCATTTCATTCAATCTTAATTTTTTTATATGCAAAACCAGTTTTGTAGACAGGATCTCAGGTATCCCAGACTGTCTTTAAAGTCTCTATGTAACTGTAGACAACCTTGAACTTCTGATCCTCCTGCCTCTACCTCCCAAGTGCTGGGATGACAGGTATGAAGCACCATGCCCAAGTTTCATGAGCTATATTTCAATGTAATCATCCAACATCAAATACTTTTCTCATTCCCTAGCAGATTAAGCCATGTTAAAGCATTCATAATTCTGATAGACATGATATATTTTATTTTTTATGTTAAATGTAACTCTTAATAACATGAAGTGGTATCTTTTTACAATGTATATAAAACTCTTAAGATTTCTGCCTTGAGAATATATAAAATGCTATGGGACAATATAGATTGGAGCTTTTAATAATTTCTCAAACTGTCACTTATATTATTATAAAATATAACAGTTTTGCTCTCAGATTTCATGACTGTCAAATTGTCATAAAGTTTCTAAGTGCTTACTTGTCTTTGAACATTGTTCTTGTAAGTGGAGAGTGGTGTTTGGGGTTCAGTATAAGCCTTTCAGGTCTACTATGAATATCACTGCATAGCCACTTAATAAATGGCAGATGAAGGATTCAACACTCATGTCGAGAGTCACAAGCATCCCTCATCTCAAGGACACCTGCACTTGACTCCGATTTTCTTCTAATCCACTTCAGGGAATCAGCAGCACAAATTCAAACACAGAACCATGAAGAATCACCAAGAAAGTCTGAGAGCGCGTTATTAAATAGTGTTCAAACACACACATGGACTGGGGAGTTGTCTCTGTGGGTTAAATGCTCACACTACAAGCATAAGGACCCAAGTTCAAATCTCCAGCATCCACATAAAAGCCCGGCATGGCTATGCACTGGGGGAGGGAGACAGGTGCTTTCCTGGAGCTCACTGGCTGTCAGGATAACCGAAATGGTGAGCTTCCAGTTCAGTGAGAGACCATGTCTCAAGAGAATAAAAAGGGGATTGATAAGGAAGACATCCAATATTCCCCTTTGGCCTTCTCATGCGAGTGTATGGGCCTGTGCACTCACGTACACATACGCATACACCACACATACACTGCATATATTTGAAAAAAAAAGAGAAACAAAAAATAAATCTTTATAATAGCCCCCCCCCCCGACACACACACACAGTATGGAAATGATTTAACAATACCAATAAGCCTAGGCATTTTTAGTGGCTTCTGATGGCATTTCTTACCTGGGATGCCTGGTGGTGTTTTCAGATATTTTCCATTAAAATGTTGAATCACCACTTCACATTTTTCAGTAGACTCCATTCTAGGGGGGAGAAAAGTATGGGGAGGTGAACATGAGATTATATACTTTTATCAAGTTGTTCTTATAAAAATAAGCAAGAAAGGGTAATAAGACAGGGATGGAGGAATTTGATTTGACATGTATACATGAATTATATCATCTGTTGCCATAGCTACTGTAGTGGGCTCATGGGACTTGACAAGGTTATCATTGCTCAATGTGTCATCCCCATATGGCTGCCCAGGTGGATGTCACAGAGATAACCTGAGACTTTTTCTTCCTTCCACACAAGGTGGCTTGGCAGTTGAAAGCATCCAATAGATGTTCACCAAATGACTGAATTAGCAGCCTTGCCAGGCAGGTCATATCAACGAGGGCATGGAAGCTGGAGGAGATAAACCACCTCTCCAGTAAGTGGTAGAGTTGGGATCTGGACTAACACCCAGCCATGGTCAAAGCCTGTGCTGTGGCAATTCAGCCAACAGCTTGCTGCCTGCAGTAGTAATAGTATGGTGGGATAGTTATCAGCACTGTGGCACTTTTATTAAAAAGTTACTATGTGGAAGACACCTAGAGAGAGTTATTTGGGGCCCCTACATGTAGGAGGAAGCTAAACACACACACACACACACACACACACACACACACACACAACCATATTTCTTCATTTAGAATTTTGACTACTCTCCTATTCTTTTTTTTTATTTTTATATGTATTTTTTTATTTTGCAATACAATTCAGTTCTACATATCAGCCTTGTTCTCCCCCCTCTGGCCCCCCTCACCTTCCCCCCAGCCCACCCCCCATTCCTACCTCCTCCAGGGCAAAGTCTCCCCTACGGACTGAGATCAACCTGGTAGACTCAGTCCAGGTAGGTCCAGTCCCCTCCTCCCAGGCTGAGCCAAGCGACCCTGCATAAGTCCCACGTTTCAAACAGCCAACTCATGCAATGAGCACAGGACCCGGTCCCACTGCCTGGATGCCTCCCAAACAGATCAAGTCAATCAACTATCTCACCCATTCAGAGGGCCTGATTCTTTTTTATATTTAATACTAGATACTAATATTCATAAAATGAAGTTTTTGTATAAAATGTCAGCATCTCATGAACAATCTAAGGAGAGATCACTGTCAGCCATCCCACTGCCATGTTAATCTTGGCAAGGCTGCCCTGGCTCAGGTACATCTGCAAGAATTTCCAAAAAATAAATTGTATATGGCCTTTGTTTTGTTGTTTCTATAATTGTGTGTGTGTGTCTGTGTCTGTATATGTGTGTGTGTCTGTGTGTGACAGTCACACCTGTAGAGGCCAAAAGAAGGAGTCAGATACCCTAGAGCTGGAGTTACAAGCGGCTGTGAACCACCCCAGGTAGGTGTTGGGAACTGAACTCATGTTCTCTGGACAAGCAGTAAATGCTCTTAATTGCAGGCCCATCTCTCTGACTCCATAAATGAAAATTTAAATATACAATACATATATATATATATATATATATATATATATATATATATATATATAATTTCATTTATTACTTAACGACAAGAAGCCTCAAATTATAAGACATTGGGATAAGAAAAGCAAGACTTATATTTTCCTCATTCTAAATATTTAGGAACAGGCTAATATAATGTTCTCTCTCTTTACATTTCCTACCTAGTAGAAACTCTAACATATTCCTCCTATTTCTGTAAGGGTTTTTTTTTTTTTTTTTTTTTTAAAGTAGGAAACTTCCTTTTCTAGGAACAAAAGAATTCTAATTCTGTCTCACTATCTTCCCTCAGGATCTACTCCTGGTCGCCTCTTTGAGGAAAAGCTTCCTCCTAGCAGAGACATGAATGAGAGAGGAAATGGGCGCCCTTAACTCCCACAGATGGCACATCACTGGGATCTTATTCTAGGGGTTAAAGACAGAAGGCGCAGGCCTGGAGTCCCTTCTCTGTGAATCTCTCTTTGTGAGCTCACGGAGACACCAGGCAGTGGAGACTGAGTGTCGCCTGCAAAGCCCCACCGATCAAGCCTTTCCCTTTGTCCTCAGATGACACACACTTTTAAACAGAGACCAAACATAGCTGAAGGTTTCAATGTGCAACTGCTGTTTTGTGAATACAGAACAAGCCACAAAGCAAATGGGCTGCTAGCCACTCCACGTGCCCATTCCTATTTTCACTCCGGTGTGAAAGTTTGAAGTCATCCCTTCTGGGTTCTAAGTACGATCATCGTATCTTAACACCGTTTTCAGCCTGGCGAGCCTGCTGGGGGCTCTTTCTAAGAACACAAAGACAGCAGGCAGAGAGGTGGCTCACTCTGGGTTCATTCAGATCTAACTAAGTAGACGTCTGCTGTGAGTCACCAGAGACTCTTCTCTGAGAGAATAAACGCAATAAAAGTCTGTTTTCTGTGGCTGTCATCATGCAGGGTCAAAGCATGTTACATTGTACCACCCGGCAGTGACAATTTCATTTGGATACACGGGGGCCACATCTGAACAAGGCAAAGCTGTCCCAGCAATGATGGCTGGGGCCTCTAGGAGTGCCAAAGGGGCAGGGGCAATGTTCTGGAAACAGAACAGAAGTGTAGGTGAATACCCGAGTTAGCCAGAACATGCCTATTTTCTGCTCAAGTTTCACAATTAAGTGCTCTGTGAGGCTGCCAGCTCAAGCTATCTGAAATCCTGCCCGTGCCTGGCTTGAAACTGACACGAGCGCGCTCAAGTACGTTTGAAAAGACGGCACCATCCGCAGCTGCCTTTACAAGCCCCTTTCAGGCGGCCTGGCTCACTACAATGCTTCTATTCTTCCAGGAGGTACCTGAGCATTCTCCACCCCCCACCCCCACACTCTCCTCTGCCCTGCAGAACAGCTCCTGGGTGGGGCCAGCACCTGACAATGCATTAAGCAGACTCTTATGAGACTCCAGTCACTGTGTAAGGAGTGGAGCATTGTTAGGTCTGCCATTGAAACACAGACACACACTCAGGGTCCTGTTTCTTTCTTGTCTGTGACTTGCAACTGCTGTCTTCAGTCATTTGAAACACACTCAAGACTTCTGTTGTTGCTGCACCAGCTGCCTCCTCCTCATTCGCCTCCTTCCTCCTCCTCCTCTTGTTCTTCTAAACAACTGTTACCACAAAGAGAACCTGATTTCACAGCTCACACAATTCCCACAGTCAAACTACAATACATGAGAGCCTGATGGAGCATCGGCAGAAGGTTCTGGATCAGGCTTGACACACAGAGGAAGAAAAATCTTGTGGAAAACCATGTTCAGCTTAACTCTCTCACCTCAACAGAGAACTCTCGGTTCACGATCTGAAAGCTCTAAGCATTATAAGCCACGGATTTAAAAACAAATCCACTCCGTCATGTGTAATGCTTAATTAGAGGTTTCCGCTCTTGTGAAATGTTTGGGGTTTTGCAATCATGGGCACTGGATAAATTGTTGGTGACTTGGAGCATCCAACTTTGCGAGCCAACATCCTCATTTCTGGTAAGATTTACACAAAGCGTCAAAACTATCAGAAGAATTTTAATGACTAAAACGTGTGCTCTTTCTAGCATTTCAAAAATAAATCATGTCATTTGCTTCTTAACCCATCGTAACATAGAGGACAATGGTGAGACCCTAGCACAAAGAAAAATAAGAATTGTGGCATTCTATCTTAGGCTGTGTGTGTGTGTGTGTGTGTGTGTGTGTGTGTGTGTGTGTGTGTATGCAACGCACATGTGGAGGGCAGAGGACAAACTCAAGTAACATTCCCTCTCTCTACCTTTTTTCTTTGAGACAAAATCTACCCACCAAGTAGGCTAGGCTGGCTGGCAACTTGCTTTTTTCGAGTCCATTGTCTGCCATTCTTAGGACACAACTGTGACAAGTACCAAATAGTACAGAGACTGGCCTCTCTGCTGTCTCCCTCTGCACACACCAAAACCTCTTGGTGATTCTGCGTTCTAACTCATTCCTCTAAGAAACCGGGTTGTGGGTAATGCTTGGCACTGAAAGCTGTCTCTTTCTGCTCTGTTGGGGATGGAGCATGGAGCTTCAGGCATGCTAAGCAGACACCTTACCAGTGACACATACCCAGACCCACTTCTTAAAATCACATCGTTAAGCCAGCTTTCTTTAGGGATGTGACCCTTGAGAGGATACCCATGCTCCATCAGATGGCCCTCCAGCCATGTACATATAAGCAGCATTAAGTGGACTGAATAGGTTTAAAGGTGGGGGTGGGGCACATGAAACTCGGAGGAAAAAGTAGGGGTTGTATGGGAAGAATTGCAGGGTAGGGATTGGGGATGGATTTGATCAAAACACATTACATGCACATATCAGATTTTCATACAATAATAAAAAGGTTAAAATACATCACATTACTAAAGAGTTAGAAATTGTCTCAGGTATCATTTTCTCTATTGCAGAAATAAAAGAAGTAACTTTTTGATTTGAGGAGCACCATGGATGTCTTGCCTGGAGACTGGCTAGCAGGTGACCTGGACTAGAAGCTGCATCTCCTGTCTGTCTGTTTAGAGGATTTTAGAGGAGACAGACCACCACTGTCAGCTTGCCACAATCCTAGTTTCCTTTCTGTTGTGGTGATAAAATACCCTGACCAAAAAAAAAAAAAAAAAGCAATTTAGGGGACAAAAGGGATTATTTCAGTTTAAAATAAAATTCAAGGTTATACACAGCTCATCATTGTGGGGAGGTCGAGGCAGGAACTGGAAACAGTCAGTCACATCCACAGTCGATCACAGAGAAATGAAAGCATGCATGCTCCCTTGCTTGCTTGTGCTCAGCTCAGCTTTTCCACTCTCAATACAGTTTAGGATCCCATGCCTAAGGAATGGTGCTACCCACAGTAGGCTGGGCCTTTCCATAACAATCACCTTAATTAAGGCATCACACAGACATGGCCACAGGCCAATATGATGTACAAAAACTCTCATTGAGATTATCTTTCCCAGAGATTCTAGGTTGAGTCAAATTGGTGATTAAAGCTAACCTTCTATCACATCATCCCTT